CAACTACGTGGGAGTCCAGCGACATAGCCATTACGCTAACTGCTGGTTCCCAAGTGACCCTTTCTTAACCATGAGATCAGTTTGTCTTTTCCTTCTTTAAACCCTCTGCTGACTCAGCCACAGGGCACAGAAGCCGCGTGAGCTCGGCAGAGCTGGAGTTCCTCGGAGGGTTGGGTCGGTTCCGGGGCGCCTGTGTACACAGAGATGCGTGCCTGCACCTGGCCGGCTGCAAGACTTGGGGGACGAGTGTGAGCCTGTCAGGGGCCCTCTCTGTCTCTCTCATGAAAGAGAGAAACTGAAAAAAAAAAAGTGCTTTAGAAAATGCTCTGTGGCTTCCACTGCCAGCCTCATCACAGCCACCAGGCAGGTCCCAGGGACCAGCCCCACCCCATCCTGCCCCGCTACCCTACTCCCCTGGCCACGACCCTGCAAATTCCCACTTCCTGCGCATCCTCTCGGGGAGGATCACTCCTCTGGTGCAGACCGCCCCTCAGGCACTGTCCCCACCCATCAGGCTCCCCATCACCTCCCCCTGCTCTGGTGTCTCCTGGACCACTCTCACAATCTATTAGTAATTGTTTAGTTGCATGTCCCCGTGGAGAACGGAGGGACACTCTGTGTCCTCGGAGTCCAGAACTCTGCCTGGTACGTGGAATGTGCTTACCAAGTACTGAGTGTGGGGGGAGGGGAGGGCGTGGAGGGAGGCAGTGACAGAGGGGAGGGCAGAAGACAGAGACAGGGTGAGAGCGAGCACTGTGTGGACTCAGACTCATCTGCCACCCCCTGTGCCCCAGGTGACGAGGGAGTCCTCCCCTCCTCCGTATCACGCCAGGACACCAGGCTCCGCACCTTCCCTGCCTCTCGGAGTCTCCTCATGCCCAGAAGGAGGGTGCCTCAAGGCTCCCCAACCCCATCCCAGGAGCCCCACAACACAGCAAGGAGGGGCAGGCGTGCCCTTGAGGGTTCCCCACAGATTAGGCCACCCATGGCCTGGCTCCAGCCTGGGAGAGTCCCCTACAGGCCCTGCAGGGGGAACCGAAGCCCGCGCAACCCCACAAGCTGCAGGGCCCCATCCTTGGGGTTGAAGGAGTGAGAGCTGCCGGGGCCTGGGGTGAGGGCCCAGCTTTGCTCTGGTGTGGGTCCCCATACTCTCTGGGGAGGAGAGGGGGATGGGGGCATGGAGCCAGGGCCCTGCTGGCAGTGCAGGGTAATGCAGCTCCCACAGTGCGCTGGCTGAGGGGCTGAGGCAGCAGGTGCAGGGAACCTCCTGAGAACTCGGTGTGGGCACCACCCCCTCCAAGGATGCGCAGACATGCATCGGCCTAGGTGACCCTGGGACTTTGCCCTCCTCCTGGGTATAGACCTGCCCCGCACACCTGCCGGTCTGCAGAGCCAGTCATGAGACACCCAGTAGCCCTCCTCTCGGTGGCCCTGGCCGCTCTCCTGGCCCTGGGGACCGGGGCGCCTGTCCAGCGGCAAGACTCCCGGAACAAGCTGCTTCTCGTGTCCTTCGATGGCTTCCGCTGGGACTACGACCAGGACGTGGACACCCCCAACCTGGACGCCATGGCTCAGGACGGGGTGAAAGCTCGGTACATGACGCCCGCCTTCGTCACGCTGACCAGCCCCTGCCACTTCACGCTGGTCACTGGTAAGCATCGGCACAAGGGCCTGGGGCTGGGAGGGCTGAGAAGCCAGGTGAGCCGGCAGGGACCCGGCGAGGGCACCACGCGGGAGGAAGGGGCCTGCCACTCAGAGGCAGGGTCTGACTGAGGGGCCATTAGGAATCCTGCCAGTGGGGGCAGGGGTACGGCAGATAGCCCACCCAGTGGGTTGCCAAACGCAGGTCCCAGCCCCAAGCCCCAAGGGCTCCCGGAGGGAGTGAGTGGTCGGGCTCCTGCTCATTCCACGATGCCGCCCTCGCTGCCCCCAGCCCGCCCTGCTCCTCAGCTTCCCCCCGCCTCACTGTCCTTTGCCGGACCTGCTGGGTCTGTGGGCAGCGCTGACACTGGACGGGGGCGCAATTGGCCCATTTTCCAAGGTTCGGGGTGGGGCAGAGAGTGGGGGTGCTATTCGCCCTGGCACAGGCGCTCCACCCTCACGCCAGCCCTTCAGTGACCACGGCTCCTCCTGCACACAAACAGACATGCGCTCTCCCAGCCGCGCCGTGTCAGCTTCCAGACCACGCGTGAGAAAGAGCCACCTTGCGTGGCCCTCCTCGGTACCTTCAGAGCTTAGTACCACGTGCACACGTGTCCAGTGCAAAGTTAAATGGAAACTGTCAGACGGAGCTCCACTCGGTGGCTTCGGTCTGGCCTCAGATCCCTACCGTGGCTGGGCCATCGTATGGCATTAGCTCCTTCCTAAGACCATGGAGGTCGCGATCTTCTGTGAAAGCGAGTGAGGCTGTGGCCGAGACCTTTGCCCCCCACGTGCCCTTGTGCACCTTTGGCCGCAGGACCAGCTGCTGGCGCAGCCGGAGGGCCAGGCGCCTGTCTGGCGAGTGCGACAGTGGACAGTGAGGACGTCTGCCAGCCAGCACGCAGCGCGTCTGGCCCCTTCCCTCCACCCGCCTGC